TGACGGAGTCTGGGTTAGGTGAGCCTGAGTGTGGGTGAGTCTGAGTATGGGTACGTCTGTGTGTGCCTGACTCTGAAGAAATGAATCTGAGTGTGAGTGAGCTTGTGTATGAGTGAGTCTGGGTGCGAGTCTGAATCCCAATGGTGCCCCTGGCAGTGTCTGGCGACTAGGAGGCCCGGGTCGACTCCTCTTTGGGAAGCCAAAATGCTGCCCCTGGCAGCGTTTGGTGACTATGAAGCCCCTGGTGGACCCCCCCTGGGGCTCCCAAATGATGCCCCTGGCAGCGTTTTGTGACCATGAGGCTCTCAAGAGATACATGTTGGGGACGCCAAACGGCAATTCTAGCTGAGGCGTCCCACCAAAATCGGCGCGAACGGGCTCGTGAGATCAGCCAGGGTGGCTCCCCCTTGGGGCTCCCAAATGATGCCCCTGGCAGCGTTTTGTGACCATGAGGCTCTCAAGAGATACATGTTGGGGAGGCCAAACGGCAATTCTAGCTGAGGCGTCCCACCAAAATCGGCGCGAACGGGCTCGTGAGATCAGCCAGGGTGGCTCCCCCTTGGGGCTCCCAAATGATGCCCCTGGCAGCGTTTTGCGACCATGGGGCTCTCAAGAGATACATGTTGGGGACGCCAAACGGCAATTCTAGCTGAGGCGTCCCACCAAAATCGGCGCGAACGGGCTCGTGAGATCAGCCAGGGTGGCTCCCCCTTGGGGCTCCCAAATGATGCCCCTGGCAGCGTTTTGTGACCATGAGGCTCTCAAGAGATACATGTTGGGGGCGCCAAACGGCAATTCTAGCTGAGACGTCCCACCAAAATCGGCGCGAACGGGCTCGTGAGATCAGCCAGGGTGGCTCCCCCTTGGGGCTCCCAAATGATGCCCCTGGCAGCGTTTTGTGACCATGAGGCTCTCAAGAGATACATGTTGGGGACGCCAAACGGCAATTCTAGCTGAGACGTCCCACCAAAATCGGCGCGAACGGGCTCGTGAGATCAGCCAGGGTGGCTCCCCCTTGGGGCTCCCAAATGATGCCCCTGGCAGCGTTTTGTGACCATGAGGCTCTCAAGAGATACATGTTGGGGGCGCCAAACGGCAATTCTAGCTGAGACGTCCCACCAAAATCGGCGCGAACGGGCTCGTGAGATCAGCCAGGGTGGCTCCCCCTTGGGGCTCCCAAATGATGCCCCTGGCAGCGTTTTGTGATCATGAGAGAGTGTGAGTGTGAGTGAATGTGACTGTGAGTGAGTCTGAGTGAGAGTGAGTCTCATCTTATCTTATCGAGTCCTATCTTATCTTACCTTTATTACCCTCTTTCTTATCTTATCTTGAAATCTCTTATCTTGTCTTAGCTTATCTTATATCAACTCATCTTATCGCATCATATCTTGTCTTATCTTATTACTCCATAGGCTGTCTTATCTGATATAGTATCCTACCTTGTCATATATCATATCTTACCTTATCATATCTTGTGCTATCATATCTTATCTTGGAGTATCTTATCTTGTCTTGTCTTATCTGGTGATTATCATTGGGAGGAGGGAGGCGGGAGGCGGGAGGAAGGAGGAGGAGTGGGAGGCGTCAGAGTAATAACAAGAACCCCAATCCTTAGGATATGGGGAAAAACAGCGCCGAACAGCGCCGAGGAACTGGAAAACATTGAAATCCCACACTTCCTTATTTTTTTCAAGTTTGGCCCCCGGTCTACTCTTGCACAACAGTCCACAATTCAGACCCCCTCACCTCCCCCAAAAAAACAGGAAGCCTTTGAGGGCCCCAGATCGTTGAATACCTGAAGGACATGAGTCAATGATTTCCGCGTTTCCGCATTTCCCCGTCTATACGATTCCGAGGCTTAAATGGGACTTGCCAGGCAAATCATTGAGCATCCCCCGTGACCCCGAGCCTTCTGCTCCCACGGGTGCGATTATCGCCAGCATGAGGTTTGGCGTCCAGCACAGAGAAGTTTCCCCACTCCCGTGGACGGACTCGACAACAATTGATTGCAGAGAAGGGCGCTGATGACCAGGGCATCTGCGCGCGCCCCCTGCAAATATCCGACAGCTGAACGACCGCTGTGAACGAGAAGCCTGGAGCGCAAGGAAGAGGAACAAAAACAACGCGCTCTCACGCGCGTGCAACGAGGCCCCGAGCCAACCCCAACATCCGGAGCAGGCGGATGTCTGCGTGATCGGGCATGGGGAGACTGAGCAGACATGCAGAATCATTGAGTGTTGTGCCGGGGCAGAGCGGAAATGAAAGTGGAAAAACAAACGCAGTTCGATGAACCAAACAAAGGGCGGCATCGAGGTTGTGAGGTGCGCGGGAACGTGGCGCCCCGCGTTCTGACTACGCGTTTCTTTGCGTCTATGGCATGGACCCGAGAACGCTGGAAATCGTCGTTGTGGCCACAGCGGGGCTTACAACGGCACCCGTGGCTCATCTGCGACTAGAACCAAAGCGCGCGCGTAGCGCGCGCGTGGTTCTTGTATGTATGTATGTATGTAGGCAGACCGGAAGGTAGGTATATAGGTCTGTCTATATATGTATACACGTATGTTTGTATGCATGCATGCATGCGTGCATGTGTGTGTGTATGTATGTATGTATGTAGGTAGGCTTGCATGCATGTATGTATGTATGCATGCATGTATGTATGTATGTATGTATGCAGGTGTGTATGCATGTGTGTCTGTAGGTCGGTACGTCGATAGATCGGTCGGTCGGTATGTATGTATGTATGTATGTATGTATGTATGTATGTAAGAAAGTTTGTGTGTATGTGTGTGCATGCATGTATGTATGTATGTGTTTATAGGTGTGTATGTATGTATGCATGCATGCATGCATGTATACATGTATGTAGGTAGGCGGGTGGGTGGGTAGGTACGTACCTCGGTATGCATGTGTGTATGTATGTATGTATGAATGAATGTATGTGTGTGTATGTGTGTATGCATATATGTAGATGTGCATGCATGTATATATATATATATGTATGTATGTATATATGCATGTATGTCTGTATGTATGTATGTATGCATGCATGCGTGTGTGTGTATGTGTGTGTGTGTGTGTGTGTGTTTGTGTGCGTATCTACGTTAATAGTATATATATATATATTATGTATGCATGTATATTTCAATCAACATATCAGAGGTACGGAGGCGCATGGTCATTGATTGCTCTTGTGTGCGTGGCAGAAATTGGTATCCGTGGGGAGGATTATGTTTGTTCCGTTGTTGTTTGTTTGTTGTCGTCGTCCCACCCGCGATCCACCCGCGACCCACCCGCGACCCGCCCCGCGACCCACCCGCGACCCACCCGCGACCCACCCGCGACCCACTTGCGACCCACCCGCGACCCACCACGCGACCCAGCCGCGACCCACTTGCGACCCACCCGCGATCCACCCGCTCCACCCGCGACCCACCCACGACCCAGCCGCGACCCATTTGCGACCCACCCGCGACCCACCCGCGCCTTACCCACATCGGTTTAACGAAAAAATCGGCGCCTGCGGCGGGCTCATTGTATGCTTTGGCGCCTGCGGCGGGCTTCTCCAGAGTCTCGCAGACTGTCGACGTCCCCGCCGCCCCCTCACTCTCATCCGATCTGCGGGGTGCTGCGCATACACATGTGAAGTGGCACCCTTGCGGCAGAAGTCCTTCAACAGCTTTACGCAGTTACGATGGGGGCCAACCCGTGGGGTCACGACAGGGGGGGCGCGATGGGTGGCCACGATGGGGGGGTCGGGATAGGGATAGGGACAGCAATGTAGGGACAGTCATGTAGTGTTAGGGATATAGGGACAATGATAAGATATATCTATGGTTCGGGATGGGGATGGGGATGGGGATAGGGATATTGATAGGGATCGGGGTATAGGATAGGGATAGGGATAACAAGGGTTGGGACAAGGGTAACAGGGACGGGGACAGGAACAGGGATAGGGATAGAGGGATGAGTATGTAGGTACAGGGAGAGGGATAGGGATAGGCAACTTGAGGCCACGGGAGGCAACAGGAGGCAACAGGAGGCAACAGGAGGCAACGGGAGGCCACGGTAGACAACGGGAGGCCACGGGAGGCAACCGGCCAAGAACTCGAGAACCCGAGCCCGGTAACCTGGACCAGGAGCTCGGCACGCGTGAATCTGGCCGCCCACCGAAATCGGCCAGAGCCCAGAGCCGGGAACCTGGGAGCTTGGCAACCCATCGAAAGCGGCCCGGCACCCAGAGCAAGAGAGCGAGGAGCCTCGGAACCCGGGCGCCCACCGAAAGCGGCCCGTTTCGCTTTCGCATCCGCCAGGACCCCTTCAGTCCCCCATAGCTGGCGTCTGTTGACAGCCCTGGGCGTTTGCTCAACAGTCCTGCCTGTTCGATTCTTCCCCCTGGTGCGTTCACTAAGGGGCTTCGCCAGTAGGGATGCTCATGGGAAGGGTCGTCCCTGAGATCCGACGCTGCGAAAGATTGCCACATCGCGCGGAAAATCACGACAAGAGCCCTAGAACCCAAATTTCTGCGTCATCTTTCGAGCCTGATCGATCTGTGATGGCCCCAGGGCCCGAACTCAGGCGAAAACGCCCGGTGTGAAAAAAAGGCAATGCCCAGATCTCAAGGGGGGGAGCTTCCAGGCATGCGATGTCTTTTTTTTTGTTTTTGCGTTCGCGGTCCCCTGAAGTCCCGACCCTCTGCCCATGGCTGGCCAAAACCTTTCCGTCGTGTTTTTTCACGACGCGAGCGTGTGTGGGTTGTCTCTAGGCCTCGCAGATGGGGTCGGAGTAGAGTGGGTCGGAGGATCGTGCCGCATCGCTGATGCATCGGCGATGCGGCTCGATGCGGAGCCCGATTTTCTGCACGCCGACGTCGCCGATGCGTCACCGACGTCGGCGATGCATCGCCGATCCATCGCCGATGCGTCGGCGATGCGTCGGCGATCCTCCGACCCCACCCCTTCGGACCCCATCCAGGAGGCCTCTGTTTTCTGCCTGCGGAGGTGGACGAGTGGTTCATGCGCATGGTCGGCGAGCGCAAGCACAATGCGGACGCCCTCGCCCTCGTGGTCGACACGCTCATGCTGGTCGGCGGGGAGGAAAACGAGGAGACGGCGGCGCGCGGGGCCCGCAGGCGGCCTCTCAGAGAAGGCCCCCTCCTCAAGTCTTCGCGCGGCGTGCTTCTTTCCCAGCCACCCTGTGGTTGTGGGTCCTCGGTCTGAAGAGGCAGCGCCCCGCGTTCCTGCTCCGTCCTCCCTCCTCCCTCCGCCTTCCTCCTTCACCTCCCTCCTCCCACACCCCTGCCTCTGCCTGCGCGTGCCCACTACCGGCACACCCCTCACAGGCTTCGTGGCCCCACAGGGAGCTCCACCGAAGGCCCCAGTGGCAGGGTTCGCATGCGGCTCCCCGCACACCGCATGTCCATGTCGGCACACTCCTCACACGTGTCGTTGCCCCATATGGGGGCTCCACCGAAGGCCCCAGAGGCGTGGTTTGCATCCGGCTCCCCGGCTCCCCGGCCATTTTGACGCACCCATCATACGTCTCGCAGCCCCACAGAGAGCTCCGCCGAGGACGATGATCACAAATGCGTCATTCACAACTTTCTATTCTTGGGCCTTTCGCCAGGATAACTGCTGCCAGTGGCGAGGGCGAACGCCAACGCGGTCGAACAGCTGGCGGGCCGCGCTGGGCAGGGGCACACCAGACGAGTGAGAGAAAGGGCGGCCGCGGAGGGGGAACTTCGGCATCACATCCTTGGAGCCTTGTATACCTTCGCAATCTCGTCTCTAGGGTGTGTCAGCGTCGATTAGCGTCTCGTTCTCGATGAGGCAGCGCCGATACAGCGCCGACTCACGTCGACCAGCCTCGCTTCAGCGTCGGTCCGCAAGAGCCAGCAATATGGTGCGGGAGGCCCCCATTGAGCTGCCGCAGAGCTGGACGAGCGGGGAGGAGGAGGGCGGCCGCGGAAGGGACCCGGCGGGGGGGAGGCCTCAGGCGCAGGAGGCTCTTCGCTGGGCGGGGAGCGCACGCGGGCGGCGTCTGCGGGGGCCGCCCAGCCCACGGGCCCCCAGACCGCCGCACCTCGGGCGCCGCGTGCCCTCCGCAGCTTCCCTCCCGGGGGCCGCGGGGGCGGTCCCCGCGAACCTGGCACCGTGCGTGCAGTGCCGGGGGTGGCGGCCCGTCTCTCCCATCCCACCATCATCGAGGGGGATGCGGAGTCCCCGAAGGCGGGACGACGGAGGAGGAGGAGGAGGAGGAGGAGGAGGAGGAGGAGGAGGAGGAGGAGGAGGAGGAGGAGGAGGAGGAGGAGGAGGGGAGGAGGAGAGAGGGGAGGAGGAGGAGGCGGAGGAGGAGGAGGAGGAGGAGGAGGAGGAGGAGGAGGAGGAGGAGTACGTCGGCACGCGCGCGTTCGAACGCCCTCGCGCGCGTGCTGTCGCGAGAATCCTCGGGAAAACATGGGACGAAATGCGCACGCGCACGTCGTCGCGCGCGCATAAAAAACTTGAGGTTTCGTAAGGCTTTCAAACCGAGGGCCCCGAAATCATATGACAAACAAAAGGTTTCGCAACAGTTTTCAGAAAAGCCTGCGCTCGCGCTCTTGCGAATTCTTCAGAAGACCATCGGTTTTCAACATGTGCATTGAATTCAGCCAAACGGGCCTCTCGCGCCGCATGCCGAAATCATGTGAACGCCCTGGTGCGGGTGCTGGGGGGGCACGATCCGTGTCAAATAATACCATGCGGGCCACTCGCGCGTCGGCCGTGCGCGCATGTCGAACTCCCTCCAAAACCTGCATCACCAACGCGAGGACGCCGTCATCGTCGTCGGCGTGATCGGCATCGGCGCCGTCACTGGCCGTGCCGTCGTCGTTATCAGCATCCTCACCGGAATTGCTGCTACTATCATCATCGTGTCTGCCGTTGACGACGTTGCCATGGTACCGTGCCCGCCCAAGCCGCCGACTCGCACTGACGTGCCCGCTGGGATGTGCCCAGCGGTCAACGCCACCGCGGCCGCGTCAGTCGCGCCAAACTAGCTGGCCGCTGCGCGCGCGTGCGCGGGCTGGCGCGGCCGCAGAGATGCACCAGCCAACGCCAAGCATGCATCACAATCGCCGCCGCATGGGCTTTGCGAACCAAGTTGCGGGTGGGTGGGTGGGATGTTTGCAAGAGCATGGGTGGTGGTGGTCAAGCGCGGTGCAGGGCAGTCAATTCTCCTTTCTAAATTCGGAGCCCCCTGGGTTTATCGGTACACCTTCTGTTGTTGCAATTTACATTTGATTCTGCCCCATCGTCCATCCTAAATCTGAATTCGTACCATCCCAACCCAGCTGGTATCGACCCCTCCCGTCATCTCCTCCCCAAAATACTATGCCCGCGCATTCGTTTATCACAAGTCATTAGTTTCCGGGAATCCTTTGCAACAAATGGGACGAAGTGCGCACGCGCGCGTTGTCGCGCGCACGTGCCGAAATCCTTCAAAAACCGTAGGTTTCGTAAGGATTTCAAACAAAATCGAGTGTCCCAACAACGTATCATATGGTTTCGCCACACGGATTTTCCCCAAAAGCTTGCACGCGCGATCTTGCGAATTCTGAAGAAAACCATCGGTTATTCAACATTTCCAGAAGCAGCCACCAAACGGGCTTCGCGCGCGCATGTCGAAATCGTTCGAACGCCCTTGCGCGCGTGCCGTCGCGAGAACCCGTAGCCAAAAACGGGACGAAGTGCACACGGGCGCGTCGTCGCGCGCGTGCCGAAATCCTTCAAACAACTTTTTGTTTCGTAGCGGTTTCAAAATTGAATGTACCAAACACATTCGAAAACACATGATTCCGCAATCGCAGTTTCCAAAAAAAAACTTGAGCGCGCGCGCTCTTGCGAATTCTTCGGGGAACCGTCGGTTTATCAACATTTTCAGAGAAATCTGCCAAACGGGCCTCTGGCGCCGCATGCCGGCATCATTCGCATGCCCTGGCGCGCATGCTGGGGGGCATGATCCGTGTCAAATTAAACCATGCGGGACACTCTCGCGCGTCGGCCGTGCGCGCATGTCGAACTCCCCCCAAAACCTTCATCACCGACGCGAGGACGCCGTCATCGTCGTCGGCGTGATCAGATCAGCATCGGCGCCCGCACTGGCCGCGCCTTCGTCGATGCGAACATTGTCACCAGCATCGCCACTATCATCATCGTGTCTACCGTAGTCGGCGTTGCCATGATACCGCGCCCGCCCGCCCAAGTTGCCGACTCGCAGTGAAGTGCCCGCTGGGATGCGCCCAGCGGTCTGCGCCACCGCGGCCGCGTCGGTGGCGCCAAACTAGCTGGCCGCTGCGCGCGCGTGCGCGGGCTGGCGCGGCCGCAGAGATGCACCAGCCAACGCCAAGCATGCATCGCAATCGCCACCGCGTGGGCTTGGCAAAACAAGTTGCGGGTGGGTGGGTGGGATGTTTACAAAAGCGTGGGATGTGCCAACTCGTTCGTTAAAATGAATTGCGCCACGCAGACGGCACCACATATATTACAGCACATCGATTGCACAACGTTCATGGCAACACATACAGCATTCCGCATAAATCGCCCTGAATATGCTGCACCATACCGATTGTGCAGCATGTATTGCAGCACGTAGGGTGCACCACGCAGGGTGCGCCGCGTAGACAGCACAATATGTTTCGACACGCATATATGGCACAACATATATAGCACAACGTAGATAACACAACATATATTTCACATTCCATATTCTCTTTCATAGGCCCCCCCAGGGATTAACGATACCCCTTCGCGTACTGCGTTTTCGTACTTATTCTGCACACTCCTCCATCCTAGGTATGAGTTGTTTTTACCAGCTAAGCCGGTATCGCCCCCTTCGCCTTGTGCAACAATAAGTTCGGCGAAGGACCCCATCGTATGCAGTTGTGGGTACAGCCGTTGTATGCACCGCGTTCGGTGGAGCTCCCTATGAGGCCGCGAAGCGTGTGAGTGTTGTGCCAACGTGGGCGCAGTGTGGCTCTCACTGAGGCCACGAAACGTGTGAGGGGTGTGCCAGAATTGGCGCGGTGGGCGCTTGCGAACGCTGGCATTTGGGCCTTCGATGGGGCCCTGTGTTGGGCCACGAAGCGTGTGAGGAACGTGCCACAATTGCGAACGCTGGCATTTGGGCCTTCGGTGGGGCTCCCACTGAGGCCACGAAGCGTGTGAGGGGTGTGCCAAAATTGGCGCGGTGGGCGCATGCGAACGCTGGCATTTGAGCCTTCGGTGGGGCTCCCTGTGGGGCCCGAAACGTGTGAGGGGCGTGCCAGAATGGGTGGGGTTTCCCGTGGGGCCTCGAAGCGCTTGAGGGGTGTGCCAAAATGGGTGCGGTGGGCGCATGCGAACGCTGACACTTGGGCCTTCGGTGGGGCTTTTATGGGGCCGTTGAGGGGTGTGATGCAAGTGGTGCGGTGGGCGCATGCGAATGCTAGCATTTGGGCTCTTGGTGGGGCTCCCTGTGGGGCCACGAGACGTGTGATGGGGTGTAGCAAAATGGGGGTGGCTTGCGCATGCGAGCGCTGGCATTTGGGCTCTCGGTGGGGCTCCCTGTGGGGCCACGAAACGTGCGAGGGGTGTGCCAAAATGGGTGCGGTGGGCGCATGTGAACGCTGGCGTTTGGGCCTTCGGTGGTGCTCCCTATGGGGCCCCAAAGCGTGTGAGGGGTGTGCCACAATGGGTGCGGTGGGCGCATGTGAACGCTGCCATTTGGGCTTTCGGTGGAGCTCCTTATGGGGTCACGAAACGTGTGAGGGGTGTGCCAAAGTGCTGAGGGGTGACGGGAGGAGGGAGGAGGAAGGAGGGGGCAGCGGGAGTGAGGACGCGGGGCGCTGTCTCTTTAAACCGAGGACCCGGCACCGCAGGATGTTTTGGAAAAACCGCATTGTTTGACAACCCGAATTTTCAAAGAAAGCCTGCGCCCGCGCTTTTGCGAATTCTTACGGACACCATTTTTTGGTTGAAGCATTTTCATATCATGCTACCAAACGTGCTTTTCGCGCGCGCGTTGAAATCGCTCGAGTGCCCCTGTGCGCGTGCTGTCGCATGAATCCTTTGCAACAGATGGAACGAAGTGTGCGCGCGCGTCGTCGCGCGCGCTTGCCAGCATCAGTCAAAAACCATAGGTTTCGCACGGGTTCCAATACCGAGTGTCCCGAACACATATAGAACACATGGTTTTGCAACACCTGTTTTCAAAAAGCATGCGATCGCGCTCCTGCGAATTCTCAAGAGAACCACGGATTGTTCAACATGTGTGTATTTTTTTCGGTCAAGCGGGCCTGTCGCGCCGCATGTCGGAATCACTCGAACGCCGTTGCGCGCGTGCTGGGGGGGTCACGATCCGTATCAAATAATCCACTCTTTTCGCGTCGGCCGCGCGCGCATGTCGAACTCCCTCCAAAACATTCATCACCAACGCGGGGACGCCGCGTGATCAGCATCGGCGCCGTCACTGGCTTTGCCGTCGTCGTTGTCGTCCTCGTCACCAGCATCGCTATTATCATCTTCGTGTCTACCGTTGTCGGCATTGCCATGATACTGCGCCCGCCCAAGTCGTCGAATCGCACTGGATTGCCCGCTGGGAAGTGCCCAGCGGTCAGCGCCACCGCGGCCGCGTCGGTCGCGCCAGACTGGCTGGCAGCTGCGCGCGCGTGCGCGGGTTGGCGCGGCCGCAGAGATGCACCAGCCAACGCCAAGCACCCATCGCTGCCGCCGCATGGGTTTTGCAAACCATGTTGCGGGTGGGTGGGTTGGATAGTTGCACGAGCAGTGGAGTTCACAACTCATTGCGAGCAGGAATTAGTCGCTCAACGCAGATCGCACCACATATGTTGCACCACGTAGATAACACCGCATGCATGGCACCAAATGTATTGCGCCGAGTACAAATGTATAAGTATATGCATGCGTACAGATCTCTTGCTTCACATCGTTTGCGCACCATCGGTCGCATTACGTATATGGCATTACTGAGATTGCCCTGCATATGTTGCACCGCGTGGGTTGCACAACGAACATTGCTCCACATACATTGTATAACATAAATGTGTAAAAATGCACAGTTTGGGGTTCACGCCGGCTACCATGTCAATCTCCTTATCGGTGAGGAAGTCTCAGGCGAAACGCTCGGCCTTCCCTACCGCCAGGCGTGATCTATAAGAAAGAGGGTGTTCCCTCCCCCCCCGTCGCCGCCCCTTGGGAGGAGACGGCGCTGGAGTGGGTGAGCCAGTTCCGTGACGCGGGCATGCCCTTGTCGCCAGCGGTGTACGCCGCCATGGTCAGTGGGGACGTGTACAGCGGAGACTTCGAACAGGTGTTTGGATCATGATGGCGGCAATAGTGATGATGATGCTGATGCTGATGCTGACGATGATGCTGACGATTCGGATGCTGATGCTAATTGTGATGATGACGACAATGCTGAGAATGGTGATGATGCTGCTGATGATGATGATGATGATGATGATGATGGTGATGATGTTGATGATGATGAAGATGATGATGATGATGATGATGATGATGATGATGATGATGATGACGACGATGATGATGTTAATTGTGATGATGGCGGTGATGGTGGTGCTGATGGCGGTGGTGGTGGTGGTGGTTATGGTGTTGCAGACGAAAAGAGTCACTGGCGCACCGCTTCAGCAACAGCAGCAGCAACATGGGCCTCTTCGGGGCCCCTTCGGGCCCCCGTGGTGGTTGCGGGGCCCTTCGGCCCCCCATCCTGCCGTGGAGCCGTGTGCCGGGCTCTTGTGGTGTGCTGCCACATTCCCCTCGTCAGTTCCCCAGGTTTCTTCAGGCTTCGCGAAGGGCCCTTCGGGATGATGTACTCTAGTTGGAAGGGCCCTTCAGGATGATGTACTCTAGTTGGGGTGTCCTTCGTACAGTTCCTACCACAGTTCCTACTACAGCTTGTGCTTCGGCTCCGTCCACATCCTGGTGAAGCCAGTCGTACAGCTCTCGCTGCTGCTCTTGGATCCGCTCTTTATAAGGCTCCTTCTGCAGCTCCTACTGTTTTTTTCTATTGCCAGGGCCTGACGGCCGGTGCCGCCGACCCCGAAGGGGAACGACGACAGCGGCGGCGGCGGTGACGACGACGCCGACGTGGGTCAGAGTCCTCATGGATGCTTCTTGGGGTCTCTTCGAAGCGCTTTCGGGGGCGTCTCAAGGAGAGTTTAGGGGCCTCTTGGGAGCCTCTTGGAGGCCTCTTGGAAGCTTCTTTGGGGGTTCTCGGGGCTTCCAGGGGGCCTCTTGGGGGCCTCTTGGGGCCTCTTGGGGCCACGTTGGGGCCTCTTGGTTCCTCCTGGGAGCCTCGGGGCCGAGGGCTCGAAATGTCCGTTCTGGTCCCTCGTCTGGGCACCCTCTTGGAGCCGTCGTGGAGGCCTCTCGGGCCGTCTTGGAGGCGTCTTGGGCCGTCGTGGGGCCCTCTTGGGCCGTTTTGGGTCCCTCCTAGAGCCCTCTTGGGCCGTCTTGGGGCGATCTGGGGGGCCTCTTGGGCAGTCTTGGAGTGTCGGGAAACGGAAGAGACGAGAACGCCGAAATGCTTCATGGAGGCCTTCTGGGGCGTCTTGCAGGGCTTTTTGGCTGTCTGGAGGCCGTCAAGGCGTCTTGGACAGTTCGTTCGTCGATTCTGGGCTCTCTTGTACCGTCTTTGGGGCCTCTTGGGGCACTCTTGACCCGTCTGCGGACTTTCTTGAGGCCGGTCCCCGCACCCGGGGAGGAGGATATTCTGACCTGGGACCCCCTGGGACCCTCCCGGGACCCCCCCCCGGACCCCTTCGGGAAGCTCCCTTGGGACCCCCTCCCCCTTGGCGGGGAACGGATGAAAGGGAAGGGGCTTCCTTCGGATCAATGACGACGTTGTTGAATTTCGCTTTCGCTTTGGCATTTCGCTTTTGCTTTGGCTGGCACGCTTGAGAAGGATGACCGAGGAAAAGGGGGGGAGGGAGCGGCGACGACGACGACGACGGCGACGGCGACGGCGACGGCGAGGACGACGACGAGGCAAACGGAACAGCGTCAATAGCCTCTTCGGGAAAGGAGGGGAAGCGGCGACGACGATGGGGACAGCCTCTTCCACACGCCGACCGGGTCGGTGGATTCCAGCTCATACAACATCTCCTAGTGCATTTCCTACTGCAGTTTTCTTGTCACAGGCAGTCGTACATCAGCCGTTGCAGCTCTTATTGCAGGTCTTAGTGCAGCCAGCTGCAGCTCGTAGTCAATAGTCTGTTGCAGTACCTATTATTGGCTGTGTAGATCCCTCACAGCTGCCTGTACAGGTCTAACATCAGCTTTTACTACAGCTCGTACAACAGCTCTACGACAGCTCGTACTACATTTTATTCTATTACAGTCTGTGCTAGAGCCAGGTGAGCACAGCTCGTACTGCAGATCCGACTGCAGCTGCTATGACAGCTAGTCGTGCATATTCCACTCCAGGTATTAATGAACTTGCTGTTCCTGCTGCAGCTCGTGCTACAGGTTCCCCTCGAGCTCTCGACCTCAGTTCTTTCTACTGTTCCCACGACAGCACCTGCTACAGCTTTGACGACAGTGCCTACTACAGCTGGTATTCCATTTCTGACAGCCCGTAGTCCAGTCCCTACTGCATCTCCGAATGCAGCTAGCACAACTCCTTGTACAAGTCCTACTACACCTTCTGCAGTCAATCTTACATCTCTCAATGCAGCTTGTACAAGAGCTTTTACTTCCGTGCCTACCAAAGCCAATACTGCAGCTCTCACTGCAGCTCTTTATTGCAGCTCTTTCTACAGCTCCCACTGCAGGTGCTACTCTGGCTCTTGCCACTGCTGCTATGCGAGTTCACAGTGCAGCCAGCAATGTAGCTCTCGTTGGAGCTGTTACTTCAGCTGTGTCTACAGCTCTCACAGAAGCTCCTACTACATCTTTTAGTGCAGCTCCTCCTACAGTTCCAGGTGCAGTCAGTAGTACAGCTCGCTGCAGCTTTCACTGCACCTTTTGCTACAGCTGCTACTACAGCCAGTAGTACATCGCCTACAGTAGTCCGTAGTGCAATCTTCAGTGCAGCTTTTACTACAGTCCTTACGTTACTTCCAACTACAGCTAGTCCATACACTTGGTAGTGCAACTCCGACTACAGTCTCTCCTACAGCCAGTAACACAGCTCTCACGACAGCTCTTAGTGCAGATTCTTGCGTAGCTCCCACTACATCTCCTAGCACGGCTTTTACTGGCCTCGCTGTAACTCCTACTACAGCCAGTAGCACAGCTTTCAGTCAAGCTGCTACAGTTTCTTTTACAGCTCCTGCTACGGTGCCTACCACAGAGAGTCGGCGACAGGATTCCTCGTACGTTTTACGGAACAGGAGTATGCCAAGACGTATTCAGGGATCATTTGGCCCCGTCGTTCTCCAATGGGATCGTGCGCAATAGTGCAGCAGTGCGTGTTTTTGCCACTTGTGACGAAACCGGGAGCAGGCGCACCTGGGCCTCAGTGCACCAGTGTGTGTGTGTGTGTCTCCCCCAAACAGCAACTGGTGTATAGTTTTTCGATTGCTTTTAAGAGCCCCGTAGGTGAGAGACAGAACGCGAAAAAGAGTGCCGCTAGAGTGCCGTGCCGTGCCGTGCGGTGCCGTGCCCACATGCCGTGGCGTGCCCAGGCTCTGCAGTGCCACAAGACTGTGCCGTGCCGTGCCGTGCCCAGGCGGCTTCCAGCCGTGCCGCGTCGGGGCCCGCGTGCCCGCGTGCCCCCCCCCCCTTCCTGCTGGACCCCGCGATGCCCCCCGGGCTGCCTGCCCCCCGAGACCCCCCCCCCGAGGTGGAGGCGAAGATGCAGCAGATGGAGGCGGACGGCCTGGAGATGGACGACGCCTCGCTCGCCGCCCTGCTGCTCGCGTCGCCTCCCCCCCCCCGCGCCTTCCTGCGGTTCAGTCGGTCGTGTCCCTCTGCAGGAGGAGTGTTCAAAAAACTAGTGAGAAAATAGTCTGGGGGCGATTTTGTTGAAAGTATTTTTGAATGTTTCTGGACCATTTTCTGGGAGTTTTTTTTTAGATTCTTCGTTCAGGATCCGCCTGTAGGAGGACACGCCCGACCTAATCCTGGGGCCCTCCAGTGGGGCATCGGAGGGCACGTCTCCGAGGCGGGAGTTTATACATGACCACCGCCTGGAGGATCAATTTCGGGGATCCCGGGAGGCGGTGGATATAGACATGTTCGGACCCCCGGGGGCCAAGCTATATCCACATCCACCGCCCGCTGGGGCACCAGGGCGTCGGTTCCCAGGCGGTGGACATGGATAACTCCCCGCCTCGCAGCGAAGGAATACACGCGCACGCCTGCACCGATCGGGCCGGGCCGGCCCTGGGACCAGGACCAGTGCACACGCCTTCCTGCCCGAGCCGGAGGGGCGGATGCACCGATCCTGGGCCCAGGATCAGCCTGGCCAGGATCCGTATGGTTGGCGTACTCCCAGAGGTCCAACGTGTTGAAAAAAAAAGTCAGGATGGAGGTGTTTTGCAGTTTTCGGCCTCTGGGGGCCCTCGCCGGGCCCCAGGACCGTCAAAAAACGACTCAGGATAAAAAACCCGTCCTCGGGAGTGGGTCGACACTTCGGGGGCCCCGTATTGAACGAATCACGACGTCGGATCTCTGGGCTCCTGGGGGCGCCCGAGAAGGCGAGAGGGCAAATGTCCCCCGCCCCCGCCTTTCAGAAGCCCAGGCCGCCGATGCCTTTGTCGTCAGTGCGCGCGGCCCAGAGCTCTCCACCCCTTCCCGGCGGACCTGTCTTTCGGTTACGTCGGGAAGCATCGGAAGAGGAGGAGGAGGAGGAGGAGGAGGAGGAGGAGGAGGAGGAGGAGGAGGAGGAGGAGGAGGAGGAAATGGAGACAAGCCTGGATCGGACTGTGCATCCCTCTGGATTGAAAAGTCAGGGTCCGCACTTTACCAGGTGGCCGCCGCCCGGATCTTCGCTCCTCGATCGATGCTGGGTGGGACATGCGCGATGCTTCCAGGCGCGACCTCTGCGGCCCAGAGCGCTCGCCTTGAACCCTCTCAGAGCCCTCAGCTGGCTCGCGATCTGCGGGCAGGGCTTCCACGCCATGCCCTGAGCGGCACGGGCGGGCTTCCCGGCGGAGCGCGCACGTTTGCGGCGTTCGTTCGTTCGCTCCTTCTGGAGCCTCTTGGAGGGTACCAGCATCCCCCAGGGTCCCCACAGGAAGCCCATGCCAGCATCTCAAGCGCACTCCCCATGCCCCTTCTCCTCCTTTCCCTCCTCTGCCTCCTCCTGGGGCCTTCTGGAGCTTCTGGGGGGCTTCTCGGGGGCCTCTTGGGCCGTCTTGGGACCCTCTTGGGCCGTCTGGGGGCCCTCTTGGAGGCCTATTTGGCCGCGTTGGGGCGATCTTGTGGTCTTGCTGGGCTGTCTTGGAGCGTCGAAAGCTAGAAAAGGCGAACACGCTAAAATCCTTTAATCGCGAACGGACAATCAATGATTCTGGAATCACGGGGCCCTCCGTGGAGGGTCTTGGGGTCCTGTTGGGCTGCCTGCAGGCCATTCTGGGCGTCTTGGGGCGATCTGGTGGTGACTCGGAGCACTCTTGGACCATTTTTGCGACCTCTTGGGGCCTCTTTGCTAGCTTTGGGGCTTTTTTGGCCCTGGAAGAGTCACACGTCACTCCGCGACAAGCCCCGACACATGTGAGAATTTGGGGTCTGGGCCGCTTGAGATTCATTTCCGAAGGACTGAGGGCGGAGAGTTCCAAGGAACCCGAGGACACTCCTCCTCGTGCCTGAGAGCACGGTGGCGGATAACAGTGATGAGGAAGAGTGAGGGGGAGGAGGAGGAGGAGGAGGAGGAGGAGGAGGAGGAGGAGGAGGAGGAGGAGGAGGAGGAGGAGGAGGAGAGGAGGAGGAGGAGGAGGAGGAGGAGGAGGAGGAGGAGGAGGAGGGAGGAGGAGGAGGAAGGAGGAGGAGGAGGAGGAGAGGAGGAGGAGGAGGAGGAGGAGGAGGAGGAGGAGGAGGAGGAGGAGGAGGAGGAGGAGGAGGAGGAGGAGGAGATGAGTGGAAGAGTTTTACGAATTTCATAACAAAGGGGTGGCGGTCACATCCCTCCCAGACGAGCCATTTCAGATCCCCCCCCAGACCAGCCACGAACGGGCGGCCTCGTGCCCAGACCCCCCGCGAACCCTCCAAGACTCAAGTCAGAGCCCCCCCCAGAATGTGACCCCCCCAACACTTATTATGACATTCGGCGTAGGTGGAGGCGGTGGAGGGGTGGACTGGATGACCTGGAGGAGGGGGGCAGGAGGAAGGGGGGGGGGCGAGGGACCTCCTGCTCTCTCCCCGTCTGTGGCTTCCTGCGTGGGGGCCAGGATAGGCCTCGTGTCACTGGCTGCATCTACCTTGCACGCAGGAGGATCGGATGTGGGGCCCGATCTTTGGTGCAGCTGGCCCGCCTCTTGCTGGCCTCGCCGCCTGGCTGTGCGGCGGGAGGGCATCGGCCTCGCAGCTCCGAACGGCGCGGCAAGCGATCCGCACGCGCGCAGGGCGGCACGGCACGTGGAGGAGTGTGCTTCGGCCCCACCTCGGCTGTCATCCTTGCCCGTCGGGGGGTGGGGTGGGACATGACCGCCCCACATGTGCCGCGGACCGGTGGAGGCGAGTCCAGCTCTCTTTGCGAGTGCTCACCTGCCGAGGTGCGTGACCCAGTCCTTGATGGAGTTGAGCGCTGGCTGTGGCGGAGGATCCCCCGCCATGGGCCCGAGGCTGCCGGCGCCGAGGAGGCTTGGACTCGAGCGGTGCGCCTCGTTGTTCTCGCGCTCCCAGCAGGAGCGCGCCGAGGGTCTGCCAGGGCCCTCCCGTCGGGGGGGCCTGTGGCCCCCAGGGCCCAGAGCGTAGGTTTCAGGCTGCCCTTTCGCCCTCGGGTGAACGAGGGTCTTGTGGAGCCGAGCGAGGCACGCTGCCTTTGCCCTCGTCGAAGGAGACGAGCAGGCCAGGCAGTCTTTCCTGGATGATGCTCGGCAGCACGGGCGGTTTCTGCGGGAGCAGGGCCGCAGCTCTCTTCTTGGGGGCTCGGATGGGGACGTGGTGCCTCTCCTCTACGGCCTCCCTCGTGCTCCTGTGACGCTGCCGCCACCGCTCTCCCACCCCGCGGTCCCGGACTGGTGCCCCACTCGAGGCGCTTGGGGCCCTGTGCTGCTCACTGGCTGCAGCGGCAGGGCGGGTTGGTGCCCCGAGGCTGCCAGATATGGCTGGAGTAAGTCGGGCTAGTCCCTCTACAGGAGGAATATTCGAAAATAGTCAAACGATAGTTTGGGGACAATTGTTTGATTATTTTTGATGATTTTTGGTGTATTTTTGGACTATGTTTTATTTTTCGTCCAAAATCCCGCCTGTAAGGGGGATGTGCCCGACCTCAGGCTGGAGTGTAGTCGAGATCACGGCCGATGGCCGGCCTCTCCGAGAGAAGTTCGGGGGGCTGCCAGGCCAGCTCCAGACTGCTGCAGGAGGCGAGCGTTGTTCTGGTTTAGAAGCCGTGCGAGTTGGACCCCCCAACCTCACCATGCAGTGGAGACCCATGCCAAGAAACACCCTGCTTGCCTCCAGGGTGCCTCGGGTTTCTTCGGTTTCGATGGCTCTGCGATGGAGAGCGCGACGTTCCCACACCAAGAACCGATGGACGTCCTGGGGGCTCGGGGTTGGGTTTCTTGTGAAAGGTTTCTCGTGGACCAGCCTCCGCTGTACAGTGCCGTTTTTTTTATACATGCTCCGCGTGCGGATCATGTATTAAAATAAAGGATTAAGTATTAAGAACAATGAGGAATCTGTGCAGTGAATCAATTGTAAATTAGGAATCTATGCAATGATTCATTTGTAAATTAATCATGTGTTAAAAATCCAATGTATCAAATTCCTATGTATTAAAACCTGCCCTGCAAGTAGCGACCGCTCAAGTCTTGTCAGGGAGGCCCGGGCCCGGGATCCCAGTCTCGAGCGCGGCCTCCTTCGGCGCGCGTCGCGTCCGGCGTCTTGCTCCTGTTCCCCCTTCCTGTCTTGTCCCTCCTGCCCTCTGCATTCTACTTCCCTCGTCCCCCCTTCAGTCCTTCTCCTCCTCCTCACGCCCTCCCCTAACACATCACTCCGCGTTGATCTCTGCATCCATTCTTCCAGTCTCTTGCGTCCGCCCTCTCCGCCTGCTGCCCCTCTTCCCTTGCCTCTTTCTTCTTTGGCTTCCGCGTGTTTCGTGTTGCCTCCACCCTGCTTGTCCTCCCTCCTCTCTCCTGCCTCCTGGCTCCACTCTCTTCCTCTCCCTCTTCACTCTCGTCTTCTTCCTTATCATTCCCCTCCTCTCCTCCCTATCGCCCCTGCCTTCATGCCTCTTACCTCATCCCATGCGCATGAGCCAGGACGCCAAATCAGGCGAGAAACAAGCGAAGGAGTCCACCGACGCGCATTTAAACGTCCCGATGCAACGTGCTACGCGAACGAATGCCAAGGAGTGCGGTGATCGACTAGAATAAGTCGGGCTTGTCCCTCTACAGGAGGAATATTCAAAAATGATCCAAAAATAGTCTGGGGATGATTTTTGATTATTTTTGAACAATTTTGGAGTATTTTTCTGGTATTTAAATTTTTCCGTCCAAGACCACCCTGTAGGGGGACATGCCAGACCTAAGACTAGAGCACCAGCGCGCGTGAAGCGCGCGAATCCTGCGACCACCTTCTGGACGCTCCTTGACGAGGGCCGCCGGGGACCTCCGGGCCTCTGAGGGTCCCCCCCCCAACCCGTGCGGAGAGGCCCGTCGTCGGTGCCAACAGGCCCTCTAAGACGATCCAAGAGGGCCCCGAGACGTTTCAGGAGCGTCCCCAGACCTGCTCGCGCTGTGACAAAAACAACGACGGGAGGTTTTTCGAAATGTTCGGCCTCCGGGGGCGGCCCTTGCCGGGCCTCGGGACCGTCAAACAACGAGTCAGGACGGAAATCTGGTCCTGGTGAAGGTCCAGACCTCTGGGGGTCGACGTTGTGAAAAAATCACGACGTCGGGGGTTTGGGTCCCACGATGAACTTCGATTGCTGCGAGACGACCTAAGAGGCTATCAAGACGCTCCAGGAGGCCGTCAAAAGGACCCCCAGAACAAAAATCGCCCCACTCCCTTCGGACAATGTGTTTGTCTAAGCAGCGCCCGAGACCGCCAAAGAGGTCCCCGACATCGCCTCGAGACGGCCCAAGAGGCCCCCAAGAGCGCCCCCAGACGGCCCGAGAGGGCTCCAAGACTGCCCAGGAGAGCCCCACGACGGCCCATATAGGGCTCATGAGGCTCTAAAAGTTTCCCAGGAGAGGCCCGAGAGGGCTACGGGAGGCTTCCAAGAGGGCCCAAGATGGCCCCGCGACGGCTTCCAGAAGGCCATCGCTTCCCAGGACGGCCCAGGACGGCCCCAGCATGACCCAAGAGAGCCCCAGCACGGCCCAAGTAGGGCCGAGGCCCCCCAAAAGTCTCGCAGGAGAGGCCCAAGAGGGCTATGGAAAGCTTCCAATGAGGGCTCAAGAAGCTCCCAAAAGGACTTTCAAGAAGGCCTCGAGAGGCAATATTCATTGACGGCCCAACAGGCCCCCAAGACTGCCCATTAGGCCTTCAAGAGGGCCCCCTGACGGCCAGAGAAGGCCTCCAGACGGCCAAGACCTCTGCGACTTCCGAAGACCTCCCCGGCTTGGTCCTTCATCCCGACAGAGGACGGCAAAGGATCGAGCTTCGAGGTTCGACGATCGAGGTTGCCCGACCGTTTTCCGTGCTTTCGAAGCCTCCGGCGTTCTTTTTGACGAACGAGCAACACACACCTATACCCATAGGGGGGTCTTTGGGAGGAGGGCTGGCTATGGGTATGGGTGCGGGTTGTCGGACCCCGGGGAACGCTCCCGTTCGAGCGGGGACCCCCATCCGACAACACGCACCCATAGCCCTCTCCGACCCCTCTATGGGTATGGGTGTGTGTTGTTGGTTCGTCATTTTTCGCCGCACGACAGGGTCCGCCTCGAGATTCGGGTCCGAACGCAGCACAGCAGTACTCGGGAGAGCCGGCCGCAGTTCCAGGCCACGGTGGAGGGCGCGAAGAGCCACACTGCACGAGGCTCGAAGGGCGAAGCTGCATGGCGCGAAGCGCCAATGCAGTCTTGTGTACGCATGTGTGCATCTCTCTCTCTCTCTCTCTTTTTTTTTTCTCTCTCTCTCTCTCTCTCTCCCTCTCTCTGTCTCGCGCTCTCTCCCTCCCTCTCGCTGACAGTGTCTCTCCCTCTCTCTCTCTCGTTTTTTGTTGTTGTTCTCCCTCTCTCTCTCTTTATACCCCCTCCCCCTCCCTCGGCCGTGCGCAGTCTCTCGCTCTTGCTCAGTCTCAGATGCTTCTTTTCGTTGTTCTCTCTATCGCTCTCCAGCTGTCTCCTTCTCTCTCTCACAGTCTCAAATGTTTTGTTGCTGGTGCTGCTGTTGTTGATGTTGTTATTGTTGCTGTTGCTGTTGTTATTGTTGTTGTTGTTGCTGTTGTTGCTGCTGTTGTTTTTGTTGTTGTTGCTGCTGCTGCTGTTGTTGTTGTTGTCGTCGTCGTCGTCGTCGTCGTCGTCGTCGTCGTTGTTGTTGTTGTTGTTGTTGTTGTTGTTGTTGTTGTTGTTGTTGTTGTTGTTGTTGTTGTTGTTGTTGTTGTTGTTGTTGTTGTTGTTGTTGTTGTTGTTGTTGTTGTTGTTGTTGTTGTTGTTGTCGTCGTTGTTGCTGTTGTTGTTGTTGTTGATGCTGTTGTTGTTGTTGTTGTTATTGCTGCTGACTTCTCATTTCTAAAGAATAATTCCCCAATCAGAGTTTGCCTCTGTAGGGGTCCTAGCAGATTCATATGGCTAGGTGAGGGGTTGGCGCCGATTTCGGCGGCACGCCCGGGTGCCCGGGTTCCCGGGTGCCCTGGTACCTGGGTGCCTGGATGCCCGGTAGCCCTATAGCCTTATAGCCCTATAGCCCTATAGCCCCATAGCCCTATAGCCCTATAGCCCTATAGCCCTAATAGCCCTATAGCCCTATAGCCCAGTAGCCCTATACCCTACTAGCCCTATAGCCCTGTAACCCTATAGCCCTGTAGCCCTATAGCCCTATATCCCTATAGCCCTATAGCCCTGTAGCCCTATAGCCCTATATCCCTATAGCCCTATAGCCCTATAGGGCTATAGCCCTATAGCCCTATAGCCCCAAAGCCGTATAGCCCTGTAGCCGTATAGCCCTATAGTCCCATAGCCCTATAGCCCTAACAAGATCCTGATTTGGATTTTTCTCCGGTATCATTATTGTTGATCCCCCCTCCGGTAACCATTGCATTTTTCTATCAAAGTGCTTCTCCCAGGGTTCGCACCATGTTTCTTACAAGCGAAAGCAAGGTGCTACCAAACTGTGCCCCAGGCCCCCGGTTTACAGCGACAGCGGCTCCCGCCTGATACTTCCACAATTTATT